CAGCGATGACTCGCAGCTAACTAGCTCATTTGCGCTCTTTGGAATTCTACAAAAACAATAGATTTACTAGGTTCGTCGTAATGCAACAGCGCGTAATTCTAAATTAAGCTGAAAGCTCGACGTAAAATTCGAACGCGCGTTAACACAATCATCTACTTTATAATATACTCGTCATTAACGCAATTTGCGCATCTTGTTGTTGAACAAAAACGCAGAAGAGAAGAATATTAAACGACGTCGGAAATTACGAGTAAAAATATAAATTATGGAAATTCTGGGTTTACATTTGTGGTGTACGATTCTTCATGTTTATGTTGTCATAATTAAAACGACGATGCGGCACTCTCGTTCCTGCGGAGTCAAGTTAGTCAAGATATTCTCTGTGCGAACAGAACCAGCTGGGACTCATTATATACCGCATAATCTAAATGTAAGTCGACACAAGTCTTGTCTTGATGAAAGAGAGACAGAAAAATATGTACACATATATATATTTTTTTTAACTAGAAAGAGAATAACCTGCACGATATTGAATAAATTAACAGAACGAAACGCTTTCTCCGCACGGAACTAGTCAGAAATTATCCTTACATAACTGCAAACATGTGGCTTCGTGTGAATAGATAAACCGTAAATCCTGTGATAGTCGCGTGATAGATTGCTGGCTCAGTATTGGCTTACTGCGTGTAACTGAGGTGGTAATTCGAACTTCTCCATGCGCGTCGCTTTTAGTGTCAGCACGTCAAAGTGACGTAAACATCACGTAAATAAACTAAGAATTCATTAAACGTGGCAAGTGCACAACAAATGATTTATAATTAGTTCTTTGTAATTATCTCATACGCGTAATTGAGTCTCAACTATGATTATATGAAATGTGTGGGTTACGACAAAATGAAATGGAGCATCGAAAACATATATTGCGCTAGAGAAGTTGTCTGAAGCTGAATCGCATAATTTTCGATTATAATAAATTGGCCTGTACATATAAATAGGCATTTCTCAATGTGCACGAGCACAGCTGTCACAAAGCGGTGAGATAAATTTTTCCTCGCGTGTGTGGTATAGTTTCGAGAGCAAACGCTCGTGAAATACACGTGGGAACTACGATACGTTTACGCGGTCTCACCGTCGTTCTTGCGTTCTCAAGAGGCCTGATCCTTCAGACGCGCGTTAGTTTTTCCAGAATTCTCGTATCTCCGTTAAATCCACGTGTCTTTCGGAAAGACACGGAAAAGGGAAGTCTCTCGTGCAAAAAAGTTACATTGATCGATTGCGACGTGTTACCGGTAAAAAAGAAGGTTTTTTAATTTTCGCAACGACCTTAAAATTGACATTATTATTTAGGAAGTCTGTAATAAACGCATATTGTGTGAGAACATAAACAGAGAAAGAGAGAGAGAGAGAGAGAGAAATTCAAAAAATTTAAAATATTACAAACAAATCTCGATTTTCTTCTTTAAAAAACAATATGATTTTGTCTACCAATAGCGGACATATGTCGATATTGCGTTTGCATAAAGTCAAGTGTTTTAATTTTCCCATAAGTCTCAAGTGTGTGGCACGCGCGTTTCAACATAATATATACATTACATAAAGTAGGTACACAAGGAATTTCTCCGCGGCGTGCTCGTTGCGTGAAGCAATGCTTTGTAGGACTTGTCATGAATTTTCATGACAAAATTGTAGAGTAGTCTGTATGCATGTAAAACTGTAAAAACAATGTCGCCCCCGGAGTGCGAGATAATGTGAAATTATGTGCGAAAGCACTATCGTGATACAAGAAAAACCGAGAACTTATATGCACACAACGTGCTATATATACACATTTTGCTAACTCTTCTATCCGTCATTTGCATAACGACACATCTAATGTAAATTTGATGCGAAAAGTTTTTACGATGAATAAAACATTCAAAGTCAGATGAAAAGCTGCAATCGAAGCGCATTTGCTAATTTCTCCGATTTTTTGCGGCAACGTGTCTTTCTTTTTTTGCACCGTGAACTTTTCGAACGCGATCTTCTTCAAAGTTTGTACTTTCTCTTTCAAAATAAAATATTTCAACATTCTCGTCTCTCTGCTTGAGCGATCGTGAAAAACGAAAATGCCGCACGAGCGTTCGCTTTTCATCTGTTTCTTGACATAATTTGAACAATGTAAAGCCGAGTAAAATATCCAACGCGGATGAATCTGCATACCCGTCTCTAGGTAGTTCGATCGAATCGTGTCGTTGAATATTGAGAGTCTCGGGGAGCGCGCCCGCGGGGAGAAGTTAGTAGAGTAAGGTATTTCTGATCAGACCCGCGCGCTTGCCTTTATTACGTAAAGACATCTAATTAGGAATAATGACAAGAAAATGAGATCGCGCTTAACTTCCTTTATTTTCCGCGGGGAATTGATAAAGCGCGTTTCTAAGTCTCGAATAATGGATTATCTCTCAATGAGTGATATTTTTAGACATCGAAAATCGATAGTGTGCGCCAACTAATGGCGTTTCCATAATTGAGACTATATAGCGCAAGAACTGTGTATATGTGTGTATCTTCCGTGACACGGCGCGATTCGAAAATTTCGAGAAAGTTAATATCATAGAAATCACTTAGTTCGCTCGGACGAACCTTCGCGGGGTTTATATGGGTCATGAATATACTCTCTCTCTCTCTCTCTCACACGGATAAGTCATTGTGTTCTGATTCCACTTACAATTGGCCCGTTGCTTATGTCGCGTGTGCACACACATGTACGACAACGTTATCACAAACCTTTTGTCGCCGTTCAACAATGGAACGTTACAATCAATGCGGACAAAATGTCCGCTTGACTGGCCGACGCGCAGCGCAGAACCAGTTAACGAAGCTTAAGTAATATCAATGCGCTTTAATTAGCCGCGTCTCTCGAGCGCTCAGACGCACGCACACCAATTACCGCCCGTAATGGCCCCCTATAGAAAGCTAATGTGGCGTAGACGAAGTAAATTTGGGCCACAGACCTATCGGCTCGTACGACGTTCCATTCTGTATATGTATGTACGTCATTCTGTGCATATATATATATATACATATATTTATATGTATGTACGTTCTGTACAAGTATGTGTATATATATTTGCCGCAAACAAAAATGATTTCAAGCAAATCCGAGGTGACAGCTCGATCATTTATATAGTTTTGTTGAAGGAGAAATATTGAAACGTGTGTTAAATAAAGTGATAAAATGTAATTAATAACCTCCAATCGCGACCTCTGACGTTTCGCAAACTTACCGCTCTCTGCTACCGTGCACCGCAAATATTCAATTTGCGTAAAATTAAAGCATGTAATCGCCTCCTCATCTTCTCGGTCATAATTATCGTATATTTTACTAGTGTTGCAACAGTTTCAATTATATTTTACACATCTCGTCACCTCAAACTTTAATTAATTAATTTTCATTATCAGCGCGCAATCCGAGATACAACAGAGAATCAACGTAATCGCGAAAATTAGTTAATGTATATACGTGGAATTGCGCAGCAAACAGATATGTGACGGGAGCATCTCGTAATCTCGTGCGAAATACCTGCTGCTCTGTGCGAGAGCTGTTACTTCTGTGTGTTAAAGCTGAAGTCGCACAAAATAGAATGAAAAAAATCACCACACATAAAAAAAGTTAGGTCGCACCTTTTCTATGTGTCTCTCTGTGTAATTAACCGGCACGCATTAATATCCGAAACACGCGGATTAATTCCATTACAAAATTCAAAAAACGCACGCGTCAATCTGCATAAGAATCTGCAAAAACAAAGCAAAACAAAAAAAAAAAAAAAAATTATCGCGACCTCATCGTGTTTGCCGAGGATGGATATTGCACGCACGGTCGACCTGGTATGCCTATCCCGGCTATATGTCAAGAAGGTGATGAGAAATATCTCGCGTTCTTCAAAAACGCTCGCGGCATAATGCGAGATGTTCGCTGCCAAACAGGTCTCATGAATAGATAAAAACCCGACCGAGAATTTTCTGTGAAAACTGTCAAAGAGGTCTTCTCTTGGGAGGATCATCTCCCATTTCCACGTGTTTGCTTCGCGGAATGCTGTCGGACACAAACAGGATACGGAAAGCTGCCCGTAAAGTGCAACGTGTAATGCATTCCGTTCTTTAAATAGTTATGCGAGACTTTGTGACGCGTATATATTATCTCTACGCATGCAAATGGATTGTATGTACGTGTGTAAGAGTTTTTTTTCGTATATATATATATATATACGTGTGTATACGTTTAATGAGATATGTGACATATGAACAAGAAATAACATGTACGGAATATAATATTACTTTTCTAATTAAATTTGTTTTTATACAGTTAATACTTGAGCCATGAGACATACACGGAATAATATATTAATTTCTTGATTAGAATAATTAGCGCGAATACCGTGCGCAGAAATTGCCGTGCAAATCACACACGGAAGTAATATCAGCTGTGTATCGTATGCGGCATTGATTTATACGAATATGAAATATCGCCGGAGCTGAATAAAATCACGATAAGGGTTTGCATAGTTAATGCGAAAACAATTGTGCGAATAAAATCCGCTGGCAAAAATCGAGAGCAATACCGCCTACGGAGAATACACACACGGCACTGTACTGTTTGATTTTCGCGAACTGGCGAAACGGTCGGAATAAATAAAATCTGTGTTCAAATGATTTCGTGATTTGCACGGCTTATAAACAGCGAGATGTTGTACAAATTGAATCCGGTCGGGGAAAAAGAAACGGGCACAGAGAGAAAACGATGTGTTCTCGCTTTTCTCTCTGCGCTTTTCCCCCTTTGACGCATCCTCGATTTGCTTCCGTAACTTCCACAGCGCGTTTCTTCTTCCCACCACGGCGCACAAATCGAACGTTGTGTAATATGCAGAGAAATCGCGCGCACATTTTTGTTTTTCCGTTTCTTCCGACCCCGCCTGTCATTGTCGCCGCATTAGGAGTAAATTCAATTTTTTTCTCTGTTGCAGCACTGTTTCGCGATATCGTACAGAAAGGAGAACCAACGGCAATACGAGCTGAAAGCGGCCACGGAGACAGAATGCAAAAAGTGGATCGATGCGATACGAGACGCTAGGTAAACGACAACTTGAATCGAAGATCGGGAGCCCTTTCGATTAAAATGCGCGACGCACGCGTAGACTCTGATTTATGAAGATTGCAAACCGCCCGATCTCGTAAATCACATTCGCGATCATCCCGCGATGACCGGGAGTAGTAACGAGCCGCGGCGTTTAAATTCGAAGCTCCAATTACAAATCTGTCGCGGCCGATTAATTTCACTCGCGACAATCATAAAAGCGCCTCACCGATTTGTTCCCGCGCACTGATTACAAAAGAATCGATATCGCGAAACGTGTCGCAAACTTGACAATCTTCTTGAAAAAAAATCACTATACGGTATTATCGATCAATTTTTTGTTCCGCGTTAAATAATCTTCCATCCGATTATTTAAAATCAACTACGCGAGCATTAACGATATTCGATATTCGTTGATGATATTTGAGCGAATTCAAATATGATCTTCGATAGCAGTAGCGATATAAAAGCTTTCTGCATACAATTGAATTATTGACGATTCGCGTAATTTTCCGGCGCCTCATGGCGATGAAACAGAACTTCATTAATCCGATATTATAAGTTTAAAGTTCGCGATTCCGATATTGCGATTATATTTCGCTTTTCTAGAGCGCTTAACGAGTTTAGTTTATTTGTATAAAAAAAAATAAAGTAACAAAACCAGTTGTAAATATCGCGCGATCGAAGTATCATGTGTTTACTTTAATAAAGCAAAAAGGGGAACGTATATAATTCCCCTGTAGCGATGAAGGGTTGACAATTGACTTAGTTCTCTGACAAACTCTGTGTTTCTATTTCGCACACATACACATACACATCGCAGACACGCGCACAGTCTATACTTCGACTATTATTCAGGAGACTCCCTTAATCTCGCTGATGTGCTGATAAATACGTTTATACGAGCATTGCATTAACATCGAGCCGTCTCAGCCATGTTCCCCTCTATTAATCCCATTGCTGTAATTTGCGCACATTATCGCCGAAGTAATCTTCATCGCGCTATCAAACGCGTTTTAAGAAACAGGGGTAGACCAGGGGTCGTAACTAATGATTACCGCGGAGTTCTGATCCGTGTCAAGGAAAGAGAATTTGCAAAGTAAATTTTCCGCCATCGAACATGTTGATACGTATATGTTGATAAAACAACATTTAAAACAATAAACAATTCCAACGAGAAAATAAAACACGCACACTGTTCAGAAGTGTTTGTCCTCAAATTATTTCAGGGGTTTGAAAAAAATAAAGACCTTCGGAAACTGTTTTGCACAACGACAATCTTTATAACCGGTTTACTCCAGAGATGGTCCGAAGGTTACAAACCCATTTCCGCCGGTAATTTTTCTGTCACAGGTGCTTCTCTCGCGAAGAACGTGATCGTTCTACCAACGCTCGCGAATGCACTGAACGTTGCTCTAATGTTTCACGTCACGGGACGTGTAACGTACGTGATGTTATTACGCGAAAAAAAATGGTGGCCACAGATCCGCATTTTCACTTGACACTTTTTGATTACTTTGTTTTGTATTCCGACGTAATAACAAATCGATTTCACACGTATACATCTCTCTCTTTCGCTTGTGCTCTTTTCTCGTATCTGTTATTTGTCTAATTAGTTTACCAGGAATGTAAAATGTTTTCTTTAATTAATCTTGTGTGTGTGTGTGTGTGCGCGCAATATATGTTTGTATTTTTTTTTAATTCACTTGATTTAAGGTTGCAATAATTGTTATTTCTACACGCACGTAAAAGAAAGATTCATTTAATTTAGTCCGCGAGGTTTAAACGCACGAGTCACTGCGAGCAATATATTTGTGCACAAAGAAAGAGAAGAATGCGTGTCTAAATATTTCATACGAAGAAGCTACGTTCTTCGTCTCTCTCTCTCTCTCTTCTTTTCCCACTTCCGCGGTTTTCATTTTATAGGCCAAGTTATACATCGTCCACACACATCCCGGCGGAGTGGCTGCCTTCTCAGATTACTTGCTATCCGGCACCGTAATATGCATAGATAATGATATCCGGAATTACTCCGGTAATTCCGCAGTGGCTCGCTCGAAAACACAGGGTGCGATACTTCTTCGAATATATCTCGTGTCACGCAGCAAGCTCGGGTTGTTGATATCGCGATAATTTTTTCACAAAATGCGGATCGAACGCTCGACTCGAGTCCTTGTTTTGGATATACAATACACTCAAGGCAAAGCTGTGTCTAAACATTACGAAAGTGCAAGCTGAGAGCTCGTGTTATACACGGCTTGTGTAGATAAACTCGACTCTCAGCTAAAATTTTACTCGGAAAATCTTTTACGACATTTCAGAAAGAAAACATTTATTCTGCATTCTCTGTTTCGCGCTGGCAGTAGGAATAATTATGTACGTTTTGTAAGTAAAAACGAAATTCTCGGAAGAGAATATAAAGAGAAAAATTTATTATCAAAAACACAAGGATAATAAAATAAAAGTAAAAAATATTGTAAGAGAATAATTTACAGATATTGAAAATGTCTTTTGTGCAGAATCGTATCGTACTTTTGCTTATAACAATATATTTATGAGAAAAGCACACGTATGGTATATTGTCTTATGTAGCAAGTTTCCCTTTGAAGGGAGGATATTCCTAATCCCTGTCTCGAGTTTCATCACTCGTATCACTTTACTTTCGGAATCGGATCACTAGGAACTGATCCCTCCTTTTCGCCGAGATTACGTCGAGAATAAGACGTGAATGTCGAACACACAAACTGATTACATAAGCGAGATTTCAACGAGAAAAATACCATGAAAATTTTATCGTTCACTTATCTGGCCTCGGAATTTAACTGTTTTCTTTGTCACTAATGTGGACGCTTTTTTGTTTTTAAATCGTACAAATAACATGTTATCTGCAATCTTTCTTTTCTTCGTCCTCAATCTTTCACTAACATATTTTGCGTCTTTCTTTCCTTCTTTAAATAAAATTTGAATTCAAAATAAAGAACTATAAAAAAAAAAAAAAAACACACAAAACTATTAAACCTGACTATGTGTTTTTTGTGCTGATCGTCAGCGACTATTTTCGCAAAAGTCCGTTTCTCAGTTGTTCCGTGACCACCGGTAAAAAAATCGTAATTTCGTTTTCACGCAAAATTCCCGGGACGTGCGCTTGGCGCACTTTTCCAGGCCACGTACGATCTGGCGTTTTATTTGTCTTTTTTTGTTTTTTATACCACGAGTCCGTTTAAATAACATTTTTAAGCTCGAAACAACGCGGAACAACGGAGAGGCAACATCGCGCGCCGATATCTAATCCGGCTTTCTCTTTCTTGGATATTGATTCTAGCTTCAACAAATTATTGCTGGAAAAGGAAGAGCTCGAGCAAAAGCACCTGCACCTGTTGCAAATCGTAGACAGTGAGAAAACAGCCAAGTGGCAGTACACCCAGCAGTGCGATGAATTGACGTCGGAAATAAAAAAGCTACGGGCGGAGGTCAGTCATAACAACCCGCGTATTGCCGCGTATCCGCCTCATGATATTTTCCCCGGTAATTCAGCGTGCGTACCTTCATTTCATCCACCGACTGCACACATTTTACTGCCGTCTGCAACGAGTAAATTTTCTGAAACTCTCCCTTATACGTAACAGAGGAAAATCTGTGCGCGTTTCCCGGCTTTTTAATACATCTTGCATTAATCTGTTCGAGATTGCAGTAATGAAAATTCAAATAAAATTTTCTCTCTCCGACGTAATATTACTCATAAGCGAACGAAAAATTATTTTCATATTTTGTGTAGTTTATGTGTTTTTAATTATGCGTTTTTTTTGCGCGCGCACATGTAATAATAGAACTTGATAAAATTTAATCAAGTCGTTTCTATTTTACGATCCATTCAGTTACGCGGAAGAAAGTTAATGATTAACGAAGAGTCTAACCGCGAAGTCCGGAAATTGAAGTCACATTTTCGCTTTGCATTTTTAATATTTCGCCGCGACTCTTTAGTTTCTCTCTCGTGTTTCTCTAATATTTAATTTTGATATCAAAATTAAATAACGAAATTTGTCAGATCAGGAAAGAACCGAAAATCGTTTCATTCGAGCAACTCATTCGACATTCAATCCAAGCTTCTTCGTTTGAACATCCCCGCTCGGTTTACACAAGAAATACGGATATGTGTTTGATCAAGGATTATCTTTTTTTTTTTTTTTTTTTTTTTTTTGAAATCACGTTTGTGAATTTCGCAGCAATTGTCGTTACAGATATGCTCTCTGAAAAAGGACATTCGACCGGTGGCGCCGGCATACCGGCCGTGTTTTCAAAGGACTATGTCCCAGGGTACGGCAAGTTTATACATCGGGGCTAATCCGTTTGGTGATGGTGCACACGGCTCCGCCGACACGGCGTTACGCGGCATTACAGAGGGTTCGATCGAGATGCAGAAAATCAAGAAGGTCCAGAGCTTCTTCAGAGGCTGGCTGTGCCGGCGACGCTGGAAGCAGATCGTTGAACAGTACATTAAGAGCCCGCACGCCGAGAGCATGCGCAAGCGGAACAGGTAATTGTTGCGTCGTGTCAGACCGATGACGTATCCGACTTGTTCGCAAACTTCATCTTTCTATATAATGTGCTTTCGCGAATCACGCGGTTTGCATCGCTGTTGTTGTCCGGAACTACATGAGGACGTAATGAGATTGAAAACCGCGTTCAGAAACATCAAGATACATATTTTACACGAAACAATATGTCGTGGAAAATAGAGTTAACATTAAATGCTCTTTTGTGTTTTTGGTTTCCGTTTAAATTTAAATTGTACAATATTAATAAAAATTTCTGGAAACGTTATTGTTTGCGATAGAGAATGGAAGCTTCGCTTTTATTTTTTTTTCCGCCGCGCTATTGAGAGATTTTCTTTTAATCAACTGTAGTTCGATATATTTTCTGATATTCTTTTCATTCGCGGTATATAATAGTCGCATAAAACCGGCGAGTTTATTGGGTTTCATTTAATTTGCGTTGGCCGAGGAAGATATTTTTAATAAATGTCGTATATATATATATATATGCTATTTTAGTCTGGTGTTTCAAATGGTGGAGGCGGAGGAGGAGTACACGGAACAGATGGAGATTTTAGTGAGCTGTTTTGTGAGGCCTTTCAAGATGGCTGCCAGTTCGAAAAAACCCCCATGTAGTCACGAGGACGTCAATAGCATATTTTTGAATAGCGAGACCGTGCTGTTCCTTCATCAGATCTTCCTGAAGGGTCTCACTTCTCGTATGGAGAGCTGGCCCACTTTAGTTTTAGGTACGTGCTACTCGAAATTTAAGTGGTGGTAGACATATATTGAACGGAGCCGTCTTTTGTTCCGTAATAATTTGGCAAAAATAAATCTCTTTTGTTCCAAATTCGCAATCTTGGCGAAAGGTTTTACTCTTTTCTTTTGTTTTGAAGATTTTTCTTCTCTCTTTCAAAAAGAAACAAATTGTAATTTGTGTCAATAGTTGCGTATATATAACTGGTTTCTGCTGCTTTCTACTGGTTTCTAATAGGAACGTGTTATAGGAGAAATTGTATACTGATCAATCGTGATACGTCAATTGCGCGCAGGTGACCTGTTCGACATGTTACTACCGATGCTATCGATATATCAAGAATACGTGCGAAACCACCACTACAGCCTTCAAGTCTTGACTGAATGCAAGCAATCGTCACCCCCGTTCGCGGCATTGCTCAATAGGTTGGAAAACAAGACTGCCTGCCACGGACGATCCCTCGAGACCTTCCTAACGTATCCTATGCACCAGGTAAATATCCCCGTGAGCTCGTCGTGTGCGCGTTTTGCGAGCGTTACGATCTTCCTTAAAGCTAAAAAAAAGACGAACAAAACAAAGTTTGCAACTTTGTTCTAAACTTGGACTCGTATTATTGCTGAATGAAAAATCATTATTAAATTTTTGTTATATCAATCTTTATCGTCCCGCAAGAAAAACTAGTTTTTCTTTGCGCGAAAAAAGATAAAACAGAAAAATGGCACTATTATCCTTATGATATGATATTCCCCTTCTCGGGAACGATCGATTGTGTATAAAGTAGTTTGGAAACGCTCATGAATATTTCATGAGGTCTGACGATCTTGTAAAACGATAAGTGAACTCGGTAGTGCGGAAAATGAGCATTCTCTCTTCCCGCTCTTTCGTCGAGAGTAGTTTCGCGAAAAATTCCTTCTGAAATCTATCGTCCGTGCACATACAATGAATTGACACTGCTCGCACTGTACATCATAAAGTAAAATTTCTGTCCTCGCGGCCCACATTTACGGAAAGAGACATTAATTAACTTTGACATTAATTGACTTTATATCTCAACTTTTCTCGAGGGAGGCAATTAAAATTTTCGTACAGGGAAAGTCGAGTTATTATTACTTCGTTAAATTTTCTTTGTTGTTTAAAGTTAAATTGAACGAAGTTCTTTAATCCGACCGCACTTTTACGAATAATTTTTCCCTTTCCAGATACCACGATACATAATTACTTTGCACGAATTGTTGGCGCACACGCCGTACGATCATGTAGAACGCAAGAGCCTTCAGAATGCCAGGCAACAGCTGGAGGATCTCTCAAGACAAATGCACGACGAGGTACTTATCAGTCAATCCTGCATGTCGCTAATCTTAACTATAAGCATTAAATCAATATCCGTTTAATAATGTTCTGCTTTTCAGGTCAGCGAGACTGAAAATCTGAGGAAGAATCTAGCCGTAGAACGGATGATTGTCGAAGGTTGTGATATTTTATTGGACGTCAATCAGGTCTTTGTTAGACAGGGTAAGTGCGTAACAATATCCTTTTTTTTTCTATAAAACTGAAATTTTTTTTCTTATAAAAAATTAATTTAAAAATTTTATTCTACAAAAAAGAACTGAAACTTTAATTGTAAGATAGAAGTGTGTATTAATCATACGTATACATGTGTAATGCAACAAGTTTGAAAGCGCAAAAGTTAAAGTAAGTTTTAACACGTTATATTATTTTGAAGTGTAAAAAAGTGTATAAAAATTTTATTTAACCACGTAAAATTAATATAATCTACAAAGTTGTTCGTATATAATTCATATTCACAGTAAAACAAGATTATCCTCGTATCATAAAAGAAAAATTTTAAATTAAAGAATAAAACTTTTTATTTCACTAGAGAGAAAGAGAGAGAGAGAGAGAGAGAGAGAGAAAAAGTCGATAAGATGCAAAAAAGTTTCTCGCGATAAGTCGCACGTTCATTTTCTTCAGTTTATCTATTGCCGGGAAATTCGAATCTAAACTTGATCGCTGTCGGTACGGATGAGCTTTCCATCGTCAAGGGAATAGAGAGGGAAAGATCGGAAACTCGATGCGAAGGACGCAAGCGCGCTTGGTTACAATTTCGGAATCGATGACGCGACTTGGTGGCGTCGACATATTTTTGCACTTGATTTCGCCTCGGTCCTGCGCGGTGAGATCTCGCCAGGGCTGACGTACAGTTGTACTACTAGCGGGTCTCGATAGTTCTAATGTCGTATCAATTGTCTTAATGGCAAATTTGCGTCATAATAACGCGCGAGCGGAGTGCCACGCGGTTGTAGAAATCATACTTTGAGCAATTGTCATAAATTTCTTCGGAATCAAATAATCCCATTCAATAAAATTGTGGAAAAAAGATCCAAGTGTGAAATACACTTGGAAGTCCGAGCTCGCGAAAAATGATACCTCACAATTTCATGCGTCGTACACATTTGTTCGGAACAGCGAACGAATGTTGTTCCAAGTGCGACAAGACTGTTTTAAGTAGTACAAGCCTATGACGGTCCAGACCGACAAGAATCGCTTGATACGGTCCTGGCATCTCTCATGTTTGACGCCGCATCACATGGTTATCACGTTCCTCAGTCGCCAGCAGCAGAACAGCTCCTTTCACGAGCGTGATCGTCCTTCTTATTTAGTCTCTCGGGTTTCATTCGCGACATCAAAAATCAATCAACTCGATTGTTCGCGCGAAACGTGTCTCGCTCGAGAACGACTTGCTTTCGTCGGAAAATTCGTTGCTATTGCGCGGGGATGTTCGGCGGTGTCGGCGGCCAGGGGTCGACGAACGGATGAAAACAAGTAGCGGGCGATCTTTGCGCCGTTGCCATTTTGTCGGTCTATCGCCGCGGTGTGTCCTGACGACGTGCGTGAAAATTGCGACGGTATCGCGACGTGGTGCGCAAATTTATTGCATAAACGTAGCTTCGAAACGGCGAACAAGGGAAGGATCAAGCGACGCTGGTACCAGGGACCAAGAATAATCAAACACATTCAAGGATGAACTGATTTTTCGTTTGCACACACGTAGGCACCGGCAGAGATGTCATTAAGTTGTAACTATCATTAGTCAAGGTACGCACCTGTTGTTTTTCATTCAGAAACGTTAGATAAGAATTTTATTTGAGCTCAAAAGACATGCAATGAGAATTTTGTATAACAAAATTATGAATTGTGTATAACAAATCAGATTCAATTAACAACAAAGTTCCTTTGATAACAAATGATTTTTTCTTCTTGCAAAAGGTTTTACACAAATTTGAAACAAATACGCAATAAAAACCAGTTTTTTTGTAACAAAGGATCTTTAATATAATTGACTGCTCAACGCACGTACATTTAATAACATTTTCAAAAAAGAGCCATTATTTATTTTTTTCAATTTTATGATGTTTATATTTTCGATATCTTCGAGATCTTTCGGTTCGGTTATGTTATATATGCTTGAGTCCTTTTTTTTTTTTTTTTACTTAAATGAGAGATTTAATCCAAGACCTCAAATCAGCGTAATTTTAATGTGCGTGAGTTCGGAAGTGTTTGATTTTCCAGTACCGAACTCCGGCGGAGTAATGCCGGTTTTAATCTCTACGTCGACGTCAGCAACAGCCTTGATGCCGTAGGTACGATATTGCGAATTTCGCGTCCGTAGCACGTTCGCCATGTTATTTTTAAACGCACGTCGGTACCTCCCCTAATTGCATCGATTATTTTGAGAAACCGCACGAGTCACCAATGTCGAAGCTGTCACGCGAGAGGGATGGAGTTATTTTTATCAGCGCGAAGCGTTTATTTCCTCCAGCGCTTCTTCGATTAATATCGTCGGCATTTAATAATAACTGTCACGACACACACGCACGCGTTGGCGGATCTTGAATGCGGATTGCGTGAGATCCGATCTGACATCCATCCCGCCGGTGTTTCAGGTACTCTTATACAACTCGTGGACAAACCGCGTGGTGCGCGAAGCAGATTGAGCGCTACTTTCGGCGGCAAAAGCACGAGCGACAAAGAGGCTGTGCGACAGTGCTTCCTCTTCTCGAATCATCTGCTGCTCACGACTCGTCAGTCCGACGACGACGGCCGATTAAATCTTGTCCCGCAGATCGGCAAGATACCACTTTCCGATGCGGTGCTGATCGAGGACCCGAGCGATCAGGGTGCCACGGATGATGATGGTAATTATTCATAATGACAAGCTCCGATTGTGTATCAACTTACTTCAAGATTTCTCCGAATCATCGAAACATATTGTTGAATTGCAAAATTAAACTTGACTGAATAATCAAATAAGACAAAAGTACAAAAAGAAAAGTCAAGATGCTGAGTTTTTTTGTTAAATTATGTAAAATAAAACAACAACGCAACACAAGTTTCTGTTTTTTATTCCACATGTTTTACTTCGTGCGTGGTCTCCATTGTAGTTTTTTATTACGAATTATTTTGACTGTTTCTCATGGAAAGACGTGTAAGGAACCACCGCGTTGGAAATGCCTCAAATGAACACATTAAAGAGAACTCATTCAGCGCTACGGAGTAGTAACGACTGTGAACTGATTTGAGAACTGTTAGTATGTTCGATGTCAAGCGGCATCAGTGAAAGCAGCGGAAGTGGCAGCGGCAGTAGCTCCCAGTTGCAGAATCGCGACTTCAAGATCTTACTCGACGTGAAATCCGGTGGACCGCAGGTGACCGTCCACCTAGTGGCTCCTACTATGCAGGCAAGTAACATCTCGAATTATATTATTAAAAAAATTTTTTTATTTTATTTTCACAATTAAATCACGTTAAATCAAATTCTCTCGCAGGAGAAAGCAGCATGGATCAGCGATATCAGCCAATGCATGGACAACGTTCACTTTAACGACTTGCTGCGCGGATCATTGTCGGACACCAGTTCCATTACAATGCCGCAATCCATCCGCAACGATCCGAAATTGTTCAAGGACGACGTGGACATCAGGTTCAGTCGTACCTTGAACTCCTGCAAAGTGCCGCAGATCCGGTCCGCGACGCCGGAACGTTTGCTGCAGCGACTGACCGACCTCAGATTCCTCAGTATTGATTTCCTTAACACGTTTCTGCTGACGTACCGAGTGTTTACCAACGGCGTCACGGTATTGGAAGCACTCAAGAAGGTTTTCTACGAGGCCGAACCGCCAGACGCGCAAATGCCTTGCACCACCGGATCCCTTGTGTAAATACGATAGAGATTGTTATTGGAGATTATTACATTAAGTGTAAAAAACTTTTCTTCTAAAAAAGAATAATTGAAACAATCAGTAAAAAAGAAAAATTTCTATAATGAAGTATCAAGTATTTCCAGTATATTTCGATCGTTTTTTTTTTATATCTATATTTTAGATCTTTAGACGTGCTAGGAACAACCTCGGAACAATTGCACGCGGAAGACCGAAGAAGAAGCAGCTTTTCGCCGAGACGAACTAGCGGCGCTAGTTCAGTATCAGGTGCACAACATTGAGATCTGTTTTGCCGATAAAACTTAACGAGCGATTAATGATGACATATCAATAATAAACTTGAGTCAATTGTTTGATAAATAATAGCGTTTGCATAAGTAGGATACGGATCGGAAATAAGCGACAGCCGTGACACAAGATCTCATGGATCCTACGACACTAGTATAGGATACAATTCGAAGAGTCACTGGCGATCCGGATATACGAAACGTGAGTAATGAGAAACAAGGAATAAATAATTTAACTAAAAACTAATCGTATAAAAATATTGCTCGAGAGGCTTCTCAAATAATTTTCATATTTGCTGTTAGTCGATGAAGAACAACCACTTGGTTTGATCTCCGAAGCACCGATCATAAAGCACAGCCCGACACCACAAGCGTCCAGTCCATCCAGCGCGTCGCAATCTCCAGTCACACCGAGAAAAGTCAGCATTCGCGTGGATAACAAGGATGCCACGGATGACGGATGCCACTTAACGATACCGAAAGTGATAGCCGTGTCGTCCAGCTCAGAGACGCTCACAGGTTTGGCGCCCTCAAACTAATTTGCAATAGATAGATACGTAAAAGTCAAAACACATATGTTTATCAACATTAAAAAAATAAATAAAAATGTATAAATAATCAAATACTTACAAATAAAAGGATATTGTGTAGAGAAATTTTAAACACTTAAGGTAAAATTTTCTGTACTTTGCCTTCTACTGGATACAAAAAAAAGCGAGTAATTCTGACGTATGAAAGATTTCGACTATAAGATGTTACAGTAGTCAGTGCGCCGTCATCGCCGAGTAATTTGAGTTCCGTAACACTAGTCGGCTCGACGGGATCCGGATCGGGATCGGATCCGAGTCCGCAAGAGACAGGTACTTACTCACGCGGAGTCTCGGAAGACACCGACACGCCAGTAGCGGAAGAGGATTCGAGAGGTGTGTATATAATTAAACCTCATCTGTAATTTTATATCTTTCCTCGCGTGAGAAAATCAATTTGGATTTATCCACGTCATATTGTGTTTTTGTCGTTACTTTACTAAGATGCGCGTAACGCGAGAAAAATGATCGTTATAGAAGTACAATTTTCCTACGACGATTCACCGTCACAATCAACCGAATCTGCCAAACCGGATACGCCAAAAACTCCTACCTTCGTGCCCAAGAAAACCGAAACAAAGAGAGAGGAGAAAGCCGCACCGGGCGACGAGGAAAGCGTACAGTCCCCTAAGCCGATCAGTCAATCGGCAATTCAGCAAAGTCAGCATCAACAGCAGCAGCAACAGTATCAAGAGCATAGAGCGTCGATCGCATCCGCTCCGCCGTGCAGCACAAGACGCAGTTCGATCTCCACCATAACCGGCGTATGTGTGATAAGAAAATGTGTTTCAAGTTTTTAGTCGAGAGAAGATTTCAATCAGTCTTCTCTCTATACGTCGTTCAATAACGGGTTCTTGTATAACGTAGTCCGTGTGTGACAACTTGTAGTGTAATCTCGACAAAATTTGTGCAAATTTTGCGTCATATTTTGATAAACGCGTAAATCGAATTTACAGAATTACTGGGCGAACAGGCGATCGATGCAAGAAGAAATCTCCTCGCAACAGGGCAACTTCCAGCACGATCAAGCGTCCAGCAAGGCTGGTGTGGTCATCACCAGTTTTCGCCAGAGCCAACGAAGGTTTGTTCCAACAGTTCTCATTAAGTGTGAACTCTTGCATTTTATTATCGTATCTTACGAAGTTGAAGAACGTTTGTATCGATGAAAATTATCTCTATTTCGTTCTTGCTGAGTGTTGAGTGCCGTTAAATGGCAACTTCCGCTTTCTGACGCATGAGAGCTTTTTCTTGACATCATTTTTTTCTATTTATCAGGTTTATGACTAGAATTGTTTCTAGAGGGAGGAATTGACGAGTTAAAAAAAAAAAAAAAAAAAGAAAAGAGATTTAGATAAAAATAGTATTATCTCTTTTTTATGGAATATTTGAGTACTTTTTTAATAGTGTAGTGCGCAGGACACACAGTAGATAATTTTATATCCGATATAATTTCCTCTCTCACACGTTACAAAAAGTTTGTTTTTTTTTTCTCTAAAACCCACAGTCTTTTTAATGCAAAAATTTGAGCTACAATCAAGTTGTACTATTTATTTGCATCAAAGAACAAAACAGTTGTAAATATACTTTGTAAATATGTTAATTATCTATTACGATCTGTCTTGCAGTAACTATGTTTATAAATAGTTTATAACTCATTTTCATGTAACATATATATATATTTTACTCGACTAAGTTGTAAATATATCAATTACCTTGATTTGCTTTATAATTTAAATAAACTACCAATAATGAATTAATATAATGCCGAACGATTATCACCTTTTAAAACTTTTCTTTTCCATCTTATCCGATATAAGATTTTATTCTCTTTTTCTCATCGTATCCTCAAGGTCGAGCTATAAAGTAATCCCTTTTGAGTCAAGAAAATACTTCCCCGCTGCTGTCTCTACTCAACTGTATTTCATGTATTGTTTTGTGTCACTCATAGCATTGGACCTGAACCCATCTGGTAAGTGAGATCATTTTGAAAACGTCATTATTCATTTGTATACGTGTGGCATGACAACAATTTCTTTCTTGCTTGCAGTGTTGTTTGTCCGAAAAAGTCTTGAGAAAAACAATGTCTCTTGTGTTGTATTTTTATTCTGTTGTTATAACAATGAAATGTCGCTTGTGTTTGTGTCTGAACTCTATACAAAGTATAGAGTTAGTATCGATTAAGGAAGTCATGTGATTTTCACACGCGTTGCCTTTCATTATACTCCGCCTCAAAACTGCAAGCGAAATTAATTTCCGTGAATTCAAATCCGAAGCAAATTACTTCGCACTACAGGTTGACTGGACCGAGAATCGAAGCTTACTGGCGTTGCTCGTGACTCATCGAGGCTCTACGCATTTATAGAGTCTTGCGCTCGCTTATAACAATGATACTGCGCGCCCATCACGTCTGTTTGATCACTTACAAAATGCACTATAGCAAACGAGCTATGAATGGACTAAACGAAATAGAAATAGTTTTTCTATTCGATAGTCGCTTCCTGTCACTTAACATGCGTGCTTATAGTACTGAATATTTAAAACGCAAAAATTAGAATTCGATAATATTATTGTGAGTTCGAATTTCGATGATGTGTGTGAATACGCTGTCTCTAAGTTCAATCGTAAAGACGCAAACAATAAAAAAAAAAAAGTTACCGTTCCAAAATGTCGAAATTCGAACTGGAAACTCGATTATGCCGATTTGCAATTTTGATTCTAGATATATATACTATAGTAGCGGCACATGGTACAATATAATGAAAATTAGTAAATTTAACGAGTCTTCACATTGTTGACTTGTGAGTAATGTAGAACTTTAGCCGATTAGGGCGCACACATTACTCGCTTATGTTGTCGATGCTTATTACGTTATAGAAATAGTAAATATGATTAAAACTACACTGCAGAAGCACACGAGACGATCACCGAGTTTTTTATTCCGTGATATTGTTCCATTCCTTTTAGCACACATGTAGCATGTTTAAAATCTGTCGCGAATGACTTGTCGATTGAAGCGATTCGCATAATGCAACGTAGAATGTAGAAAACAACATGCGTAGACCAATGAAATAAAGAAGAAATAAATAATCGCGAACTTCGATTTTATTCACGTGTCGTCGTACACGATGTTGCGTTAAATATTTCATCCTCAGAGCAATTTTATTAATTCAGGAGCAGCACATCCACCGCGGCGGCCGCATTCGCCATCGCGACTTCCGGCTCGAGCAATCCACCGGACAAGGGTCCGAACGACGGTCCGAATCGCAGCGGTTCTTGTCGGGACAAGAACAGACGCAAGGAATCGGTAATGTCGACCGCTGCGACAATGAGAGTACTGAACGTTCTCAGACACTGGGTGTCCAAGCACGCCCAGGATTTCGAACTCGACCAGGAATTGAAGAATATGACCATCGAGTTCCTGGACGATATCTGCTACAGTCCCAATCTGTTGCCGGCTGAACGCAAGGCCGCCAATCAGCTTCTTACTTTGATCACTAAGGAAGGACCCGAGAATGCCAAAGTCGATCTGAAAAAACTGCTGGCTCCGCCACCAGTGAGTAAAGAAATATACTTTGTTCTTCTTTCTTTTGCTCAATATTATTTTATAATACAAGCGAGTGTGCGATCTCTGAAATCGACAAGTTAGAGAAACTTAATGCGAGATATAACTATGTAACAAAACATTTCGAGAGATACATTGTCCAAAAAAATGTCTAAGAAAAAAACTAACACGTGTGAATTTCAGATTCACAGCAAGGAGAGCATTGAGACGCTGCTCGCGCTGGAGATCGCAGAACAGATGACGTATCTGGACCATCAGATATTCATCTCCATCGCTAGCGAGTGAGCAATGAACCGTAATAAATAAAAATAATAAAATCAAATCTCGCCGGTTGTTTTAACGTATAGAAATTTTATATGTTTCACAGAGAATTTCTGGGCCAGGCGTGGATGAAGACGGACAAGGCGATCCGCGCGCCTCATATTCTCCTGATGACAAAGAGATTCAACGAGGTGTCGGAACTGGTCGTCTCCGAGATCATCCGTCGTTCCAACATGTCGGCCAGAGTCGCGGCTATCGAGAAATGGGCCGCGGTCGCCGATATCAACCGAGTTCTTCACAATTACAACGGCGTGTTGCAAATTTGCGCGGCGTTCACGAACAGCAGCGTTTACAGGCTCAAGAAAACTTGGGAAAAAGTTTCCAAAACAGTAAGACAATCGTAAATTTTTATAATTGTAATTTCAACCTAAACGTAACAAATAAATTTAACAAGGTCAGATTGCGAACACACAAGAGAGTGTTCAGTATATTTACAAATATTCAAAATATATTGCATTAATGACAGCGAGACGTACGAGTTCTTGAGTCATCCACAGTTCGCAATTGATCTTGTCGATATTTATCTGTTGAATCTGCAAAACAAACGTCTCGTGAATTTCTTACGTAAACGTAACAGTTAAAGTTACACAAGTAAGATACGAGATTAAATTGTATACGACAAAAATTTCAGACAAAGCAGACGATAGAGAGATTGCAACACATCGTCTCATCCGACGGGCGCTTCAGAAACTTGCGAGACGCCTTGCACCGATGCGATCCACCGTGTATTCCTTACCTGGGTCTCTACCTCACTGATCTCTCATTTATCGAGGAAGGTACTCCAAATTTCACCGAGGACGGTCTTTTAAATTTCTCGAAAATGCGAATGGTGAGCAATATTTTTCGCGAAATCAGCACAACAATTTTTTTCTCGCGGAATATTAAATAAAAAACTAATTGTTGTACATTTAACTCAGTATTTTATCACTGCTACTTTAGTTGCTCAGAATTGCTACGTCATGGAACCAATCTCACGATCGCTGTTTCAGATCGCTCACGTGATCCGCGAGATACGACATTTCCAGCAAACTCCCTACAAGATTGAATTGATCACCAAGGTGACCAACTACCTGCTGGACACGTCGCTCTTGCTGAACGAGAAGGACTTGTATCGCATGTCCTTGGAGATCGAGCCGAGAACGTCCAGGTTGAGTAGTTCCACCTTAGCCAATTTGCCTCCTTCGGTCACTTCTATGAAATAAATTACTTTCGCCTTGAGAAATAATCGTAAAGCATTTAACTTCAATTTCCGACCTTTTTTTGTACATAATGAATCGAAAGAAAAAAAATACGCAAATTTCGACGAGTTATTAAATATGTATTTGTTGTGCTAGCGACTGATCGTAACGATCGCGCAATAGCCCCGTCCATTTCTGCCCACGTCTATGTCGTCGTTTTATGTTTTGCGATTTGCGTTAAATGCTAGACAAACTAAGCTCAACAGTGATCTCATTGTCGCACAGAATCGGCCTCTCTTCGCAATCGATTAATAGACACAGAAATTGCCGTAAGAAACATGAAATATCGGAAATCGTACTTTGACAATCAATAGCGTAAAACTATTTATTAGTTTCCGTTTATTCCAATTGTTGCTGTCACAGCAACAATACTCGCTCGTCAAGTAGATGAAAACGACTTGATGTAACTACCGGTCTCTCTCTCTCTCTCTCTCTCTCTCTCTCTCTCTCTCTTTCTCTCTCTCTCTTTAAAAGAAAACTTTTCAATCTGACGTACTTTTCAGTTTGTAGCTTCTCTAAGAATATTTTATTAGCTCTTCTAAAAATATTTTATTATTCTTCTGTTTTCTAAAATTCATTGACATTATCAGATAAAACAATAAACTTTCTCTTGATTAAATGTGTTTGCCGATGAAACTTGTACAAACTTGTACAAACATCGATGAGAGAGATGCAAGTTTTTTCTCTGTTTGCCAAGCGAGATATAAATCTTATACACAGAGAAATATACACATATCAACTATATTTGATATAATTCCAATTCAATGTCTCTCTTACTCTCTCGCTCACTCACTTTCTATCTCTGAACCGCCTCTATTACATTCAATAATTGTATCTATAATCTACATGCGCGGCGGACACACAGATTGACACGGACGAAACGCGGATGTAACAATATATACATATATTCTATATACACGCACATCTATTTTTATCCTCACGTCTATCCCTAAGAAAACTCCTAGATGCACTCGCGCGAACGCGCGCGACGCGCGCGTTTCCGTGCGGAATGCGACACAATATCGGTGTCTTATGTGAAAAATGTCTGTTTTCGAAAAAAAAACGGAAATCATGGCATGCGGACCACGCGTTTCCAATCAAGCGTATTTCGTAAACGAACGGTTTCCTTCCAAGAGTGCTGCCTTTCGAAAAGGTGACGAGCAAAAACCCCACATTCGATTTTTTGCATTCCCTAACATGCGAGTGTACTTCAAGTCTGAATCGCATGCAGATCAAAACGTGTAACCTGGCACGGATGTACATAACAAAAAAACAAAAAAAACAAAAAATCGAATATTCTGAGAGTGCACTTGCATGATACGGCTGGCATTTTGAGATCTCAAACCGAGATAAAACTTGATGATTGTTATATTACGTTTACTCGCGCGCGTGAATCTTCCTGTGCCATCTCCGTTTTTGTTTGTACACGTCACTCGAGAACGACGCGCGCGTGACCAATTAATTGTAAATACATTAAGCCCGAATTCTCTTTACCGAATTATAGCTATTGTTAAAAAAAAAAAAAAAAAAAAGAAAAAAAAACAGTCGATGCGACTATAATCTCCGAGTGATCCGCAGACCATGTGTGTGTGTAATATCATGCATCTGGAAAGTATTGCCATATCATATGTATTTCAATTTCAACGGAATTCCAAACACACGTGTTGCGCGAGCAAACGTCAAACGTTTTCATGTTGCGACGGCGAAAATTAATTCCAAGATCTTGTGTTCACGTGCAGATTCTCTTTTTGATAATTACGAAGCTCTGAATTAAAAAGGCACATATTCCTCTTATGAAAGTCTAAAAATATACAGTAGCGCGAAGAACAGTATGGTGAAGCAAAATCGATCGTACCTACTGATAATTTTACGATTAGACGGAGCATATCACTGTCACAATCACTATCGTTAATTAATGTACTTACCGAAATTTTGAAAAATTGCACACTTCTCTGGGCGTAAATCGCCCGTTTATCTTATTTACGATCACAAAAAAAGAAGCGAAAAAAAATTACTTTCAGAATTTCTTAGACAAAATCGCAGTTTAAATTACCTACTTCATGCAAAAACGTGTGTGTGATTTCTTTAAATTATTTATATATATATATATTTAGCAGAATATGAATGAACATAAAAAAAATCCACGTTTTTAAAATGATTATTCTTTCGGTGTGATAAAAACCAAACAACAAAAATATTCGGACTTGTATAATTCGCGTTTCCGCGAGCTTATTACGCATTGTCATTGTCTTCTCTGTAAATTAGAAAAAAGTTCTCTTATTGTTTCGTTCTATTGTCAACATATAATGTATCGTCAATGATACAAGTCATCAATGAGCAATGTATAGCTTCCTATTGACAAAAATTATTATAAATTAATAATAACAAGAAGAAGATTCTTCGGGCTCAGGAGACTTTAAACTAATGAATGAAATAAATTGGGTTGTAGGAGCCGTTTGCAGGATGTTGTGCAGAGAATGTGCTTAAATATATATATATATGTATACACATATATACTTCAAAATAATTTTTTTCCTCCATATAGGATGCTGGATTTGCAAAAATTATTATTATTACAAATTATAAATAATCCGGTAAAATAAAAATTTTATCACATTGGCGTTGGATGACGCACATATGCGTTTTTCAGATTTTTTATTAGAGTCTGTACGACGCTATATGTGCGTCTTTAGATCTTTTACAATTGCATTCTCCAAGTGACGCGCGTTAGTATCGGCTTCAAACGCCCGATGTGTTAAAATAAGAACACTGTTCAAAAAAAAAAAAAAAAAAACACGCTTGTAGAATATACTTGTACGACTAGTTTTAGAGTATACGATATTTCACTAAGCAAAGTGCTAACAGATGAGATTTGCAGATCTGATTTGCGAACAGATTGGCTATAAATTCGAGCGGAATATCGCAACAAATCGGAGATTAATTGTGAGACTTCAGGCTTAAGTTTTGGCAACAGATCTGCTGATATTTATCATCATCGACAAATCGGTGATAAATCTCGAGCAGATATTCCACAATTATTTTCTGACCTGCTCGGTTTCTGCTACTAATCCGCCGCCAAATCTGTGTTCGACGGATCTGTTACTTGGTTTTGGTGCCAATATCTGTTGCGGGCATTTGAGAAAATCTGTCTTCGACAGACTTAGCGCGATCAGTGAAACCTTGAAGAAAAAAAAAAAACAAATGGTATATGATACCTATAGTACTTAAATATGCACTGCATTTTTTGCGACGCGCATGAAAGAAACTCGTGGAATTTCTATTAGAAAGTGAAGTTTGAAATTAAATGCGTGATACTTTTTGAGTCTACAGAAATTAAAACGTGATGAGAAACAAGAAACAGTATTGAATGAGTAGCAATTCAATGAAGTCGCTTGTATCTTGTTAAAGTTTTGTGCCAATTTGGACAAAAAAAAAAAAAAAATATTCACGATAAATAGTAAAAGACGTGTCAACAACCTTTAGAAAATCAATCCTAATTGGAGAGTCCATATTTATATTTTTAGATTAGTCCAGACTATAGTTCGATACAATAGTGAGATAAACAAAGAATGTCGAAATGATTATGAGAAAGCTAAAGAGCTAATAAGCGTCGATGTGCAATTGGACTCGAGAGATGATGTTTAGAAATTGGTGGCAAATTGTGTATATCACATTCTGAATTAACGTGTATCCACTTGTTGTAGATCTCGTCGTATAGCAGAGCTGTCTAAGTAAGCGTTTGTTAGGTAACATTTCTTTCTTTCTTGCGCTCATCACAAATTAGACAGCTCTGTCGTATAACATGGAAGAATATTTTCTAACTAGAGTGTACAAAGATAGAATCGGCTAACGTCTTTTACAAAGTATTAAACCTGATAAAACAATCCGATCTAATTGAACTCGCGTCATGTTTTATTCTTCGACGTAAAGCAGATAGTTTATTATTATTTTTACGAAGTAATCTCTCGTTCCGCAAAATCTTGTATACAATCAATTGATTCTTGTTTGTTTATTTAACCTGATGTTCATCCGTTTAGATAGACTACGCGTGGTCAGAAACAAAAAAAAATAAATAAATAAAATAAAAAGATAAAGTTCTCTATGCTAATAATTTGAGAAGTGAAGGATTCGCTAGATCTTCTAAGAGAGTGTTCAATTGTGTATCTCATATCACTCAAGTGAGATTATTACTTGTTACGTGCAAATTGCATTGAAGAAAAAAATCATTATTTCGTACATTGTTCTTCTATTGTCAAAGTGCCAACAGGGTTGCTGTTCCGTTTCGGCGATCATGTTTCCAAGTGTACCTTCCAGCGTTCTAAATACCTCGTTCAGAAAAGAAAGTTTACGGACCTTTAATCGTTTTACTTCATTGCTTCGAAATTACTACAACTCAATATATATATCTCTCAATTATCGTATACATATTTGTGTAAAATATGAATATTATATAGTCTCAAATTGAGGGTTCAAGCAATGCGCAGAGATCATTTGTGTACCTTAAGCATGACTTAAGAATTTTCAACTTCCGTGAATATGTGTCTGACTGTTGTTATAAATTATAAGATAAAATCAGTACGGCTAGTTGCGGGGTACGGAAAATCTGCGTTTGTACTTCCGGACGATAAATGACAGGAGCGAGCAACGCGGAATGTGTTTGTAATTATTGAAAATAACAAAAATAATATATGACATCCAATCACTAGATCTCATGTCGCTTGTCTGTCGTTCATCGTTCAGAAGCCTAAATGCAGACTAAAGTACCGTCTTTAACCAACATTACCTCGTTCTTTAATATCAACGCGACACAATAAGGTAAAAGTACCAATTTCGGGACACTTAAAGTTCGCATATAAAGAGAATGTTCTTACTGAAAATGACAAATTCTCATGAATCTTGTACATAGACACAATGATAAAATATAAAAACAGTATTTTATACATAAAAAAGAGAGAAATTTAAAATACTTTTTCAAAACATCCAATATTTTATTACACTGCTAAATTGTGAAAGAGAAACAATTCGATACTCGAACGCTTTAATATACGAATTTTATGACATAATATTCTTTTCGTGTGTGATAAAATATTTTGTAAATTTTTTATTTGAAAGTTTTAGGTTTTTTTTGTTTAAAAAATTATACTTTTCTAAATTTTTAATATTTATTAAAATATTCTCTATTTTTTTTTCCATCTGTTTCTAGATGTTAGAACCTCCGCTCAATTTTGGTACTTTTATCTTAGTTGTCTGTTTATATTTCTTCGATGAAAAACAAACATTGCGACGACGATACATACATATACATATATTATAAAATTAATCAGTTTGAATCGTCAATCGCAACTGCACAATATTCGCTGCGAATATATTTCGCGGTATCTCTTTTAATATGATAAGATCTACTATTCTGCACAATAAATGTAGTGTCAAAGTTAGTTACGGCGAAAGAATCACTTGTAAAACGTATATAAGTGCAATCACACAGCAGAGAGCAAGACTTGTAAAAATTTTTCAGTCGTTTCTCTATGCACAAATTTAATGACACAAGCGCAAGCGTACAATTAAATAAGCGTATAGTTGAATAGTCACACGCGCGGGAAAAATCACAATCTCTTCAATTGTTTACTTCCTCAAACGTATCGATTTACTATTAGTTATTTTGATATTTATTAATTTAAAATATTGATATTTAAACAATTTTATTTGCATGTAGAACATGTAATTTTGGAAGTTTGTTTTTTATGACAATCACGATTACATTGTTATCCTTGTATATATTGATAAGCCCTGAGATTTGAAACACCCTGTGTTCTATATATATAATATATATATAAGAACAACGAGATTGCGCGAGATTCCTTTTTCGTCTATTTCCGGTTTTACGGGTTAAGTGCGTACGAAAGAGGTTGGAGAGGTCTGCGATATAGAAAGGATTTTCGGTAGAGGAGAAATACCGCACGCGCGCGCAAAAGTAAAAAGTTTTGCGTTCGCGTTTTTCTCTCTATTTTTTTTTTTTTTTTTTTTTAACCAGCACTCAAACCAGATTCGCGAAAACCGTATTGTTGGATCGGGAAACGAGCACGGCTTTAGAATTCGTGACTTTTTAAGTCCTCGTGTGCGTGTATCCGCATCGGTATAACTTCTTGTCTTCGATATCCGCGGTATTCCCGCTTTGCGAACTTTCCTCGCTCGCTACACTCATCCCTCTTGTTACTTCAATGAGAAGTACATTACTCTAAGCGATAAGAATAGATTATGTCGTTTTAGAAAGATATAATAAGAAAGGGGCAAAGAGAAATATATTTCCAGAACTTGTGACTGTGTTTGATCTCTTCGACAAAGAGAACCGACTGTTTAAAATCCACGTGTTTCCGAATAACCTAACCTTCACACAAATTTAAATTTATAAAAAAAAAAAAATTATCTAAACATTATCTTCGGTATTAAATATTCAGTTGTGTGAGTGTACGGACGTGTGTAGAAAATTTGTTTTCCATCTCTTTTCGCACGTGATCTTTCGGATATTATTCTTCCGGCACACCTAACAATTAAATAGTTGTGAAATGTTTAGACGAGAAGAGAATATAGCTAGATAAATTTTTTGTGCGAGTAGTAATTTAATTATTGTTAATACATGTTGAAGAAAGATAAATGAAAAGTATGTTGTCATTATTGTGTGGCTTGCTGTACGTGTAATGTAAGCGTGTAATGAATGGATCCGCGCGTGTATTTTTGTGCAAGTAATAATGTTCCTTTACGTAAACTAAGCAAAACACTAATCGTCACAAATCATCAGATGGTTGTGAGTAAATGTTAACAAAGTATCATTCGTACTAATGTAGAAAGATTTTTAGAGTGCGCGGCGCTGACTCTGTTGAACAAATTTGATTTTTGCAGATGTAGATCGCAGTATATATATACAGTATATCTATATATATATAAGTATATATATATATATATATATATATACTTATATCATATAACTATTTAAGACAAATTGTATATGTATCGATTTATTTAAACATTGTACATAAATATCTGTCTCTGTATATTTTACGTACTCAAAGTACATATGTAAGTCAGATTATGTATCGAGAGCTTCGTGAAAAAATATCCCCAATATTAACAAAAGAAAACTTCTCGTAACAAAAATCATTTTGCACAACAGCAACGTCCGCCACTTTCTCGATAATTTGTTTTTTGTTTTTTCGTCATGAAACAATATGTAAGTAATGTTATATATTATCGCAACACACTGTATTATTGCTCTAATCTAGTTGGAACGGAATCAAAGAGTCAAATAAGGATTGAATCAAAGAAAAGTAAATAACACGAAAGTTAAAAAAAAATATTAGCTGTTATAAATGTAAAATATATCTCTATCTATATATATATATACATATGTGTATACATACACACACATTT